CCCTGCGGGGCCCCGATCCCACTCACCATAAACGCAGCCACGCTGCTTCGGGAACTTGGCGACCACTTCCAGAAGCAGCGCGGCCATTGGAGCTGGCAGCCCCCCCGGGCAGCGCTCGCAGGAGGGGCACTGGTGCTCCCGCCTGCTACCCTGCCCCCCGGCTACACAGGGAGCGCAGCATGACAGGAGTGCCCCGGTGCTCTCAGGGGGTGCCCCCCCGTGCCCCCCCGATGTGTCGCCCCTGCTGCTCTGCCCGCATCCTGAGGACAGAGCCAGGAACAAGGCCAGGCTGCTTCAGCCCCGCCCTGCTCCTGGCATGTCTCACGCTGGAATGAAAGGTTTCAGAGAGACAGAGGCAAAAGACAAGAGCATTCAGAGCGGTCTTTTTTACACCAGGGACAAACACAATCTAGCCAGGCAGCTTGGTAGAGTCACACACACACAGGCACCGTCACCCTTTGCTAGGATGTGCTGTGCACGAGGCTATTTCCATCGCCGTAATTCCCAGTCACGCACTGTCTGTACCTCCCCGATGAGACACCAAGCCAACACGCCAGATAGATAACCTGAAAACAGATGTCGAGAAGCAAAATCAGTCATTGCAAAATGCTTTTTCCAGTTAACCTGCCAGGACAGGACCACCGATATCATTGCAAAAATACTGGCCAAATACAACGTGGACCTGATAGAAGTTGAAAACTTTGAACTCGTGCAGGTCATCTCTGAGCACAAAGGTAAGAGAGCAAAACTTTTTGCTGCTTAAAAGCTCCTCCTCATGGCTGCAGAAGAACATGCATGTGAATCCATTTTAGAAACAGTGCATTGTTTCATCTCAAAGCCAGGGGCAGTCGCCCTCCCTCTTGATTACCTGGTAGGAGTCAGCACACCGCTGCTCCCCTTTGGCATGACACGGGTGCAGTTGGGGAAGACTGACAAGTAGAGATCCAGCGCTGACATGTGTCCAGCGGTCTGCAGTCAGGCCCAACTGCAAAAGAAGCAGTGGGAGCATCACCTGTACACTGGCTGCTGCCCAAAAAGCCACAGGGAAGACACAGTCCAGATCCACTCCCTGAAATCCATCCTGCTTGACAACCTCTATGCCCTCTGCACCAGGAAGGTGTCCCAAAGCCATCCTGACGGTCAAAGCCCCTACGGGGGAAAGCACTGTATAAATCCAGAGCGTTACCCGCAGAATAGCTTCGCCTTCCCAGGGGGCTCCTCGATTGTATGCATTGCCCTTGCAGAGTTCGGCAAGCCCGAAGCCTGCTGGGTATCTTGAGTGGCAGGAGGAGAGTCTACCATCACTCCCTGACCCTTGCCAGGTCAAACTCTCATCAGCATCAAATCAGCAGCCGCCTCAGGCCCTGCCCTGGATTTCCCAGCCCTCCCTCTTTCAGAGGCAGTGAAAGCAGGGAGGATGCAACGGGAGGGGAGAAAGCCAGGCTGAGCAGGCTTCCTTCTGCTCACCTCTGGCACCCAGCAACCCAAGGCCCCAGCGCTCCCCCTCCCCACACACACACCTGTTTGGAAAACAGCTGTCTCCCATTGCTGGCAGACAGGGATCTGGGAGCTCAGGGAGCAGCAATCTCCTCTGCTGCCAAAAGGCAAGGCTCAAGCCCTGCTCTTGGTGCCTGAGGAGGTAAAGGGGTTGTCTCGGCTGACTGGCAGAGAATTGGTCTTGCCCCATTTGTTGAATAAAGCCCCCAGCACATGCAAGCTGCACAAAACGACACGTGGAAATGATGCATTAAGGAAGCAAGGCAAATGATTGCCTTCCCCCTAAATGTACAGCCCTGTGTGTAGACATCGTGCTACTGTCTGTAGTCAGTGATCTCAGAGCCAGAAAACGGTTTCCTGTAGTGCGCACGTACGTTTGGTGTTATCAAACTTGCAGAAGCATAACTTTGGCTGGTACAACATTTCTCATACTTTTGCTGGTGGGAAAGGAGATGTTATACCTAGTAAAAACCAGGTTAAAGCCCTTTATGGGGACTTCAAGAGAGGCACGTGCCCAGCCACAGCGCACCTCTGAATGCTCCCCCATGTGCTGCGCTTGCTTGTCGTGCTGCTATCCAGACTAAATCACTCGACGCGGCTTTTCTTTTCTTTTCTTTTCTTTTCTTTTCTTTTCTTTTCTTTTCTTTTCTTTTCTTTTCTTTTCTTTTCTTTTCTTTTCTTTTCTTTTCTTTTCTTTTCTTTTCTTTTCTTTTCTTTTCTTTTCTTTTCTTTTCTTTTCTTTTCTTTTCTTTTCTTTTCTTTTCTTTTCTTTTCTTTTCTTTTCTTTTCTTTTCTTTTCTTTTCTTTTCTTTTCTTTTCTTTTCTTTTCTTTTCTTTTCTTTTCTTTTCTTTTCTTTTCTTTTCTTTTCTTTTCTTTTCTTTTCTTTTCTTTTCTTTTCTTTTCTTTTCTTTTCTTTTCTTTTCTTTTCTTTTCTTTTCTTTTCTTTTCTTTTCTTTTCTTTTCTTTTCTTTTCTTTTCTTTTCTTTTCTTTTCTTTTCTTTTCTTTTCTTTTCTTTTCTTTTCTTTTCTTTTCTTTTCTTTTCTTTTCTTTTCTTTTCTTTTCTTTTCTTTTCTTTTCTTTCTGCAGAGCTAGTCTTCCCGCAGGGAGCGAACGTGTTTTACGGGATGAACAGCCAGTGCAGTACAGACCTCATCCTGCGAAGAAAGCCATGCTTAATTTTCGGCCCGTGGCCCGATGAGCACAAGAAGAGGAGGAGGCGCCTACCCAGGCTCTTTCGAGGTGGCCGGAGCAGACGCAGACACCAAAGTTTCTAAGGAGCTGCCGTGAATCACATTGCCAGGCTGGGGGACACTGGGGCTGGGGGGTTGGGGTGCAGGCATGGGAGGGACAGGGCCAGGGGGGAAAGGGGAGCATTTCTGTGCGTGGGGGATGGTGTGGGAGGGACAGGGGGAAATGGGAGGGAGGCTTGTTTCAAGGGGGGACGGGGCTAGGGTTGTGCGATTGCAAACAAGCAGACACCCGGGTGGGGGAAGAGGTGTGTCCCCTTCCCCCTGCCCCCCCAGCCCTGCCGGTGCCCCTCACCCCCAGCCCACAGCCCTTTGCCACCCCCATGCCTCCTGGTGCTCCTCCCTCCTGGTCCTTGCCTTTTGTCCTGCCCCTCGGGATTGAAGAAGAGCTGGTCTGTGCCGGGCGCTGTGGGATTCCCAAATCCCAGGTCCCTCAGGATCTGCTCTGCACTGCTCCTGGCTCCATGCCGTGGTGCCACCTGGATGAGGGCCACGGGCCAGTTGTCGGGTCCCTCTGCTCCTCTCAGCAGGGAGTCGCCCGCAATGACGCTGCGGCGTCTCCTCTTCTGCGTGCCTGGCCGGCCCCCTGCTTGCTTTCTCGCTCGGGGATGGCAGCAGGCCCTCCGCTGCACTGCCCCCCGCACACTCCTCCAGTGCAGCCAGGGCCTCCGATCTGTTCCCCAACTGCCCCAGGGCAGCTGTCTCTGCGGCAAGAGCTCTGGCCTGGAAGATGATGGTCCTCCGCTGCCCAGCACCTGCTTCAGGGCATTTCCTTACAGCTTCTCCTCCGGGAGTCTTGTCCTGCAGAGAATGGAAGTAGCCATCCGGCGCTTCTTCAGTTGCCCTGATGCCCCGCAGCCGGCTCCCCTGTGCCTGGAGCCCCTCACCTGCCCTGCAGGGCCTCAAGCCGGGCACAGGGGGGACAGGCAAGGGACCCCCGGCCCCCACACTGCCCCCACCTGAACCCTATGTTCACAGCATCTTTAAAGACATCACAGTCATCCTCTGGCCCCGTGGGCAGGCTGTTCAAGACAGCAGACAGGTCACCGTTCCCCGTGCAGCTCTGTCTCTCATAAAAACACCCTTTCCCAGCTTCCACTGTCTGTACCTCCCCGATGAGACACCAAGCCAACACGCCAGATAGATAACCTTAAAACAGATGTCGAGAAGCAATATCAGTCATTGCAAAATGCTTTTTCCAGTTAACCTGCCCCGACAGGACCCCCGGTGTCACAGAGAAAATAATGACCAAGTACAACAGGGACCTGAGAGACACTGAAAACTGAGCTTGTGCAGGTGATCCCCTTGTGAGGGATGACATCCTTGCCTTCAGCACTTCCCGGAGAAGCCCCATCCGTGCGGGCTCGGAGAGGGGCTGACACAGCCCCGAGCTGGAGACAGGACAGGAGCCGGAGGGGAGCGGGCGCAGCAGACGCGGGTCTTCCCGCTGGCCAGAAACCACCAGAAACCTCGGGGCTGAGGACGGGGCAGGACGGAAGAAGACCGGGGGGCGGGGAGACCCCACGGGCGGAGAACACGGGAGCGGGGCTGGGGGGGGTGTCACGTGACCGCCCCCCCGGAAGGTAACTGTCTGTACCTCCCCGATGAGACACCAAGCCAACACGCCAGATAGATAACCTGAAAACAGATGTCGAGAAGCAAAATCAGTCATTGCAAAATGCTTTTTCCAGTTAACCTGCCAGGACAGGACCACCGATATCATTGCAAAAATACTGGCCAAATACAACGTGGACCTGATAGAAGTTGAAAACTTTGAACTCGTGCAGGTCATCTCTGAGCACAAAGGTAAGAGAGCAAAACTTTTTGCTGCTTAAAAGCTCCTCCTCATGGCTGCAGAAGAACATGCATGTGAATCCATTTTAGAAACAGTGCATTGTTTCATCTCAAAGCCAGGGGCAGTCGCCCTCCCTCTTGATTACCTGGTAGGAGTCAGCACACCGCTGCTCCCCTTTGGCATGACACGGGTGCAGTTGGGGAAGACTGACAAGTAGAGATCCAGCGCTGACATGTGTCCAGCGGTCTGCAGTCAGGCCCAACTGCAAAAGAAGCAGTGGGAGCATCACCTGTACACTGGCTGCTGCCCAAAAAGCCACAGGGAAGACACAGTCCAGATCCACTCCCTGAAATCCATCCTGCTTGACAACCTCTATGCCCTCTGCACCAGGAAGGTGTCCCAAAGCCATCCTGACGGTCAAAGCCCCTACGGGGGAAAGCACTGTATAAATCCAGAGCGTTACCCGCAGAATAGCTTCGCCTTCCCAGGGGGCTCCTCGATTGTATGCATTGCCCTTGCAGAGTTCGGCAAGCCCGAAGCCTGCTGGGTATCTTGAGTGGCAGGAGGAGAGTCTACCATCACTCCCTGACCCTTGCCAGGTCAAACTCTCATCAGCATCAAATCAGCAGCCGCCTCAGGCCCTGCCCTGGATTTCCCAGCCCTCCCTCTTTCAGAGGCAGTGAAAGCAGGGAGGATGCAACGGGAGGGGAGAAAGCCAGGCTGAGCAGGCTTCCTTCTGCTCACCTCTGGCACCCAGCAACCCAAGGCCCCAGCGCTCCCCCTCCCCACACACACACCTGTTTGGAAAACAGCTGTCTCCCATTGCTGGCAGACAGGGATCTGGGAGCTCAGGGAGCAGCAATCTCCTCTGCTGCCAAAAGGCAAGGCTCAAGCCCTGCTCTTGGTGCCTGAGGAGGTAAAGGGGTTGTCTCGGCTGACTGGAAGAGAATTGGTCTTGCCCCATTTGTTGAATAAAGCCCCCAGCACATGCAAGCTGCACAAAACGACACGTGGAAATGATGCATTAAGGAAGCAAGGCAAATGATTGCCTTCCCCCTAAATGTACAGCCCTGTGTGTAGACATCGTGCTACTGTCTGTAGTCAGTGATCTCAGAGCCAGAAAACGGTTTCCTGTAGTGCGCACGTACGTTTGGTGTTATCAAACTTGCAGAAGCATAACTTTGGCTGGTACAACATTTCTCATACTTTTGCTGGTGGGAAAGGAGATGTTATACCTAGTAAAAACCAGGTTAAACCCCTTTATGGGGACTGAAAGAGAGCCACGTACCCAGCCACAGCGCACCTCTGAATGCTCCCCCATGTGCTGCGCTTGCTTGTCGTGCTGCTATCCAGACTAAATCACTCGACGTTTCTTTTCTTTTCTTTTCTTTTCTTTTCTTTTCTTTTCTTTTCTTTTCTTTTCTTTTCTTTTCTTTTCTTTTCTTTTCTTTTCTTTTCTTTTCTTTTCTTTTCTTTTCTTTTCTTTTCTTTTCTTTTCTTTTCTTTTCTTTTCTTTTCTTTTCTTTTCTTTTCTTTTCTTTTCTTTTCTTTTCTTTTCTTTTCTTTTCTTTTCTTTTCTTTTCTTTTCTTTTCTTTTCTTTTCTTTTCTTTTCTTTTCTTTTCTTTTCTTTTCTTTTCTTTTCTTTTCTTTTCTTTTCTTTTCTTTTCTTTTCTTTTCTTTTCTTTTCTTTTCTTTTCTTTTCTTTTCTTTTCTTTTCTTTCTGCAGAGCTAGTCTTCCCGCAGGGAGCGAACGTGTTTTACGGGATGAACAGCCAGTGCAGTACAGACCTCATCCTGCGAAGAAAGCCATGCTTAATTTTCGGCCCGTGGCCCGATGAGCACAAGAAGAGGAGGAGGCGCCTACCCAGGCTCTTTCGAGGTGGCCGGAGCAGACGCAGACACCAAAGTTTCTAAGGAGCTGCCGTGAATCACATTGCCAGGCTGGGGGACACTGGGGCTGGGGGGTTGGGGTGCAGGCATGGGAGGGACAGGGCCAGGGGGGAAAGGGGAGCATTTCTGTGCGTGGGGGATGGTGTGGGAGGGACAGGGGGAAATGGGAGGGAGGCTTGTTTCAAGGGGGGACGGGGCTAGGGTTGTGCGATTGCAAACAAGCAGACACCCGGGTGGGGGAAGAGGTGTGTCCCCTTCCCCCTGCCCCCCCAGCCCTGCCGGTGCCCCTCACCCCCAGCCCACAGCCCTTTGCCACCCCCATGCCTCCTGGTGCTCCTCCCTCCTGGTCCTTGCCTTTTGTCCTGCCCCTCGGGATTGAAGAAGAGCTGGTCTGTGCCGGGCGCTGTGGGATTCCCAAATCCCAGGTCCCTCAGGATCTGCTCTGCACTGCTCCTGGCTCCATGCCGTGGTGCCACCTGGATGAGGGCCACGGGCCAGTTGTCGCAGCGATTCTGGCCGCGACGTCCCTGCCCCTGGCTCCGGGCAGGCCCCGCATCTCAGCTTCCACTGGCGTGCTTGTTCCCAGAATGACCGAGCAACGCTCCGGGATCGTCTGCACGTTTGTCATGAGGGAGATTGGGGTGCTCGGTCTGAGGGGTGCAGCTGGGGCTGGCTGAGCGCCTGCCACTCCAGCATTTGGCTGCATCCTGAGTCCTGGGAGATCATGTCTGCCTGTGAGCCTGGCCACTTGGGCATCATGCTGGCGCTGGCGCTGGCGCTGGGCCTCCTTGTGCTGGCGCTGGGCCTCCTTCTCCACCTTCTCCATTCCCTTCAGCTCTAGCTCGTGCCTGAGCTTGCTCTCCCCTGCTTCCAGCGGCAGCTGGTATTTCCAGAAGTCCCACTCGGAGGACGGCCCCTGGGGTTCTGCGTGCACGCGCGGAGGTGCCCTTGCGGCCCGGGCATCATCACACAGGATCTTAATCAGGGCTTCTCTCTTCTGCTCCTTCCTCTCTCTTTCCTCACCCCTTTCAAGTCGGCCACAGTCCCGTGGTCATGCTCGGCAGTCACCCGAGCTATGTGCACTGTCCCCTTGACCCCATGCCCAATTAGAGCTTGTTTGCTCAAGGGTTTTTGGGGACTCTCTTCCCTTCCCCAAATGATGCCTTCAAGACAGCCGGTTGTAGGATCCCAGAGCTGCCACCACATGTGGCGGGCCAGTACGGGGCGCTCCTGTGTTGAGCCCCCCGCCTCACTGCGCCCACCACCTTCCAGGCTCCGCGTGCCTCCCTGGGCACCTCACGTCCAGCCGACCCCCTTCCTGGAGCACACCTGCAAGTCTTGGGGTAGTGAAGCCCCCATCCATGATCTGGACTGAGCTTCACCCTGGGAAGCCTCACATTGGTCGTGGGGAAATCCCTTGAAACAATTTTCAAGAAGCACATGTGTGAGGGGCGGGCAGGGGAGATCATGCCCAGGGGAAGTCAACATGAGCTCATCAAAGCCAGGTCTTGCCAGACCAACCTGATGGCCTTTTATGACCAGGTAGCTAAATCCTTGGATGATGGTGTCGCCGTGGACGTAGTCTTTCTGGACTTTAAGAAGGCCTTTGACACTGTCTCTCACCCCATCCTCATTAATAAACTCAGCGACTGTGGCATTGATGCCTACAGAGTTGGATGGGTCACAAATTGGCTGATGGGGCGCACCCAGAGAGCGGTGGTGGACGGGTCGCACTCGACCTGGCGGGATGTGAAGAGTGGGGTCCCCCAGGGCTCGGTCCTGGGCCTACACTGTTCAACATCTTCCTCGGCGACTTGGACGAGGGGGTGGAAAACATGTTGTCCAAGTTTGCCGATGACACCAAGATGCGGGGAGAGGTAGGCACGCTCGAAGGGAGAGAGAGGCTGCAATTAGACTTAGACTTGACTTAGCACAGAGGCGGAAAGGGATCTCGGAGTCATTATTGACTCCAAGATGAACATGAGCCGCCAATGCCAGACCGCAGCCAGCAAAGCCAGCCGCACCTTGTCGTGCATCCAAAGATGCATCTCAAGCCGGTCCAGAGAGGTGACAGTCCCCCTCTACGCGACACTGGTCCAGCCCCAACTGGAGCACTGCGTCCAGTTGTGGGCACCACACTTTAAGAAGGATGTGGCCTGCCTTGGGAGGGTTCAGAGGAGGGCCACCCGCTTGGTTGGAGGGCAACAGGGCAGGCCCTCCGAGGAGAGGCTGAGGGACCCGAACCTGTTCAGCCTCAGCAAGCGGAGGCTGAGGGGGATTTGGTGGCTGCCTACAAACTCGTTAGGGGAGATCAGCAGCAATTAGGAAGGGTCCTACTCCCCCCGGCAGCACCTGGGGTGACGAGCAGCAATGGCCAGAAGCTGCTGGAGAATAGGTTCAGGTGAGAGGAGAGGAGGCACGATTCCACTGTCAGGGTAGCTAGGGTCTGGAACCAACTTCCCAGGGAAGTGGTCCTCGCTCCTACCTTGGGTGAAGTCAAACAGAGGTTGGATGAACACCTGTCTGGGGTCGTGTGATCGCAGCGTGTGCTCCAACCAGTGGCGGGGGGTGTAGACTAGATGATCT